ATTCCAAAAGTCCAACAGTTATTGTGAAGGGACAAAGCCCCACTTGATTTAGGTTCTTTTGAAAAATAGTAGCCACCCAATATTTTGAATGGATTTCTGCCTATGACAACCAGTCTCTAATGGAGATGCTTGATAGACACACGTGAGGTAAACTATCACCTATTTAACTGTTGGTTTATATTACTATAAACATATCAATTCACATACAAGTAAGCTACATTTCTCTTTGCACATCAGGCATCTCAGTTAGAGACTTGTCATATATTAATGTGCTTCAAGTTATCAGGACATAGGTTAATCTTAGTATATAATCTAAGGAATAAATATTGGCCATTAGGCTTCTAAAGATAATCAAAATTAAGACTAGTTTATGTTATTAGTAGAGCTCGGATTTGTAGGCAATATTAACAATAAAAAATTACTTAATATGTGAAAAAAGCATTTAATTAATATAAAACAACAATTAAAAAATAAACTATACAATTTAATATATTAATGTAAAATTTTACTAGTTTGCATCAAACAAAATTAACTTTAATATAATTACATACATTTTGTTCTAAATAACTTTCACAGTTTGGACTTCAAATATTTTTGTACATAAAACATGATCTTTCTATGTCCACCGACGTTAATATGTACGTTATTGATGTGCATGTCATATATGAATAAATTAAATTTAAATTAACAAATGTCGCTGACAAAACTATTGTATCAGTTGAAAACTCAACGCAAAAAAGAAAAGGCATTTATAAGAATAAAACCAAAAAAGATCCATTACCTTAGATTTTAAATGAAACACATTTTAGTATAAAATTATTTTTCTATTAAAATTAAAAAGAAAACTTTTGTTTTCAAATCCGAGCCCTAGTTATCAATAAATGGTAATTTACATCCGAAACTATTAACTATCCATTTATAATTTTACAACAGGTACATTACTCACTTGTTAACTAAATCATCTAAAACAAATGTATCTGCTGTTTTCATCAAGCTTAAGATGAAACTATCACCTTTAGAAAAATCTACTTGATCTGTGTAAATCCATTTAAGTAGTGCTTTTCCAACATCCAAAGGCAATGCGGTCCAATCTAAATTATGAAAACAATGTATATGTTTGTTATTGTAGAGCCATGTATTTTAAAGAATATTTACCTAAATAAATAACTTCAGTTAAATCAGGTACTCCCCATTTATCACTTCGTGATGATAAAACAAACTTATGAGCAGGAACATCGCCATCAGCCAATGTTATATTTAAATCACTGAAAACATAAATTAGTATACAAATGTAGAAAGTAAAAAAATAAAATGCTTAAAATTTTACCTATAAAGTGTGTTGTTATACAATGTTGTTACTGTTTTCAAGAGCCTTGAGACAAAACTTTTGTCATTACAATCGCCATAAGTTGCTGCCAGTGCAGCATGTTTTTTTTCCAAATCATTGCAATAAGCTTGGAGCTTGACATATTCATCTTTCAACAATGAAAGATGTTGTTGCTGTTTGTGCTTTTCGGAGTCTCCAGACATTCCTTAATTATCAATAACAGACAAGACATTACTAAACTATGAAATATGAATTATGAATCCTTGCAGTTCAATTAATTAAAATATTACTTAATACAATTAAGGAAGTACCTTAAAATAGTTTAAAATACTAAGCAAGGATCTTTTTATATATAATTTTAGTGTTGGGGAGTCATCTACAACTCAATACAAGAATATAATTAATTTATTAATATTGAATACTATAAATCATAACCATTAATTTATTTATTCAAACATAGCTATTTCATCTTATCTTTTTTAGAAGTTGTTGATAATTTAATATTTTAACATATTTAATTTAATCACATACATGAAATATTAACAATAGTACAATATTGTGATAAATAATAATTTAAAACAAATAGCAGTGAGTGCTTGATAGTTAGATAAAAAAAATCAGTTTGAATTATGTATGTAATCATTGTCCATTAATCAAAATAGTTACAAAAAATTATATTTGAAAATTAAATGTACAAAAAAAAATGATTATTCATTGTTATCTTAGTATTCATTGCATTTTAATATAATTTTTTTTTAAATACCTGTCAAGAATTATCTTAAAATTATGAATATGTTATACAATGTATTGAATGCATTAAAATCATAACTATGAATAACTTTTAAAAAAAACAAATGTGCCTTATCGTAAATTAAATGTGACATCTAATAAGTATATACTAAACGGCTAAACACCATACCAGATAACACAAAAGAAGACAGAACCCTTAAACAAAGACGGTGTAAGGACCATATTATATTTAACAATATAATAAAATGTATTGGGACCGAGTGACTTCTTTCTATCACATCTGTTCATGTCTATATATAATAATATACCACATTTCTTATTGAAAAAAAAATATTTAAATTATAAAGGTTAAAAAAATTTTCACAACAGAGATAGTGTGATTATGAGTTATAATCCAACTAAAATGAATAATTTTATTCTTGCATAGTTTTATATTTTACCAACTTAAAATGAAGGTATTTTTTTTTCTACTTACAAGTTTAAAGTACCACTTAACATCAAAAATTACTTAAAATTTACTTTGAATATTCTTTATTTGCTTAACTTATATAGTCCAGGATGAAAGACATTAGATGTACTTGGGTACCATTACATTCAATGTTGGTGTTTTTAATAGGCTTAAGCCACCTTTGATTTATTAAGTATAATCGATATTGCCAGACTACCAGTGACTTAGTGATCACAGAGCCTATAACAGTGGCAGCTTTAATAGCTATTTTAGGCGATCACTTTGTGTATAAGTGGGATTACCTTCATGATGGACCCATTTATGATTTATTTACTTTTATGAATTGTATTTGGCATTGAGGATAGTTAGTGGGGGTTAGCCATCCACATTAACATGAGAACGATTGGTAGTAGGGCACTTATTTGAAAGTCACTTCATAGAAATAAAATTTTTGGGTCACCATCACTGCTTGTGGGGGGCAGAAAAAAAATAATACCATTGTTATACTAATTACAAATTTATTTTAAACAATAACATGTATACCTAGTACAAAATAAACTTTTCAAGACTTCATTTGATTAAACGAAAATTAATTTTTTTTTAATTATTCTTTATTTTTAAAGACATGTTAAAATACTGAACATCCCCCTCCCCACCCATTTTGGATGTATTTGTTGAGACCCCAGCTTAACTGCATTAATTAATTTTAATTTTTAACAATAGTAAATATATTAAAATGTAAAAAAAATATGAAATAGTTTAAATTTGATACTTAGTAAATAAAAAACAAGAATCTTCAATAGATATCTATTAGAACAATTTTAATATATTTGTATTATGATAGGCACCTAATATAATTAAAATAATGTATCAAAAAGAATAAAGAAAAATTTCAAAGTTTTGTTATTCAAGAGGGATTGAAATTCAAAAACATTGATGTTATACCTCATTCATAATTGTACATTGAATCAACAAAGTATGAATACACTATTCATATACACTATATGAGCAGAAACTCCCACTCATCACAATCTTCAAATGTTCATCATATAAATGACTCGAACACGTATTTTGGTTCAATTCGGTATCACTAGGTAGTAGGTGATCAAAATAAAGGCGATACTTCACAATTGGTAATTTAAAAAAAGAAAATCCAAAGGACTGTTAGTCGTTTGGTGACCGTTCAAGTTGAACAAAACTGAAAAACATAGTAACGAATGTCACCGGAAACTAACCTTCTCTGTAAATGTCGGCGGCTGGCATTATCGACGACGGACTGCAAACGATCACATCGGGTTCGTGAAGACTTCGATAAAGCAATGGAAAAGCCGTAACCGATCGAGTCTTTTCGTTCTTAATTCCGATCTACTGGACGGTACACTGTAAAGTGTAAACTCCGATCGGGCATCAGCATTCAGCAGCTAGCTATTGCCTGTTACAGGCTACAGCTAAACGGCGAATATATAGATACACCATGTTCAATGTTGTATCAATGGGTTTGCATAAAATAATAAGAAAATCAGATTGATAACGGATTATACAGTGGTTATTCAGTGGCTGAACAGAGTAACCACCGGTGGAGGTTGATAATAAAACGTACGTGCGCCGAGTGGTTATTTATTATTATCACTGTTATAAACTGTCCCTATTCTGCTCTATAGTAATGAACGTCATGTGTTTGGACAACTTTAGAAATAAATACAATTTTGTATAGACAATAATTGTTAACTTTACGTACCTAGTTTCATACATAACATATCTATTTAGAATAGAAAAACTTGGCGTGTTTATAAAGGAGGGAGACACCAAATTGCCTTATATACTGATAATCGTCATTCGTGGACACAGCTGTGTAATGTTTACCCGAGTAAAAATCATGGTCCATACTCCGTAAGCTAAGCTTAGTGAAGACTTAACTAGGGTGCCCAGATACAAAATACGGGACAAATTATTACTTTCATATAAAGTGTAAAACCATTAATTCAAATAAAACAAAAGACCTTCAGAGTAATTAATAAACCGAAACACTACACAGCCATACCCGGTTGCTGGAAAAAGTTGAAGCAACTTCAATGTCTAATGCACGCTACTGCGGTTCAAATTCTTATTCTGTTATATTAAGATTCAAACACAAAATACTCAAAAAACATCATAATGAAACTTGTCAAGTATTGCATAGAACATCTAGCGACTAAATTGATGCTGAGAAAAACATATGCCACAACCACTAAGAAAAGTTATTCAGTCAAATCATCAGTTTGTACTCCTCGTTCGCAAGTTTGGTAGAAACAGGTATTTACAATTGTGTGTACTAAACACATAACATAGTTATGGCAATTTAACAGACGTAAAATGTATTGTCTGGAAATTGTTTTTGAGTACTATTTCACCCACAAGTGCATAACCGAACAGTAGTAAAAAATACATAAGCTGAAGACAAGATCTTAGATCAAAATTATTCAATAAATGCACCAGTTTTGATTTTTTTGGTTTTTATTATAAATTGTCACATAATGAAATTGTACAATTATTTTGCAGCCGCTGTAGCTTTTTCTTCTTCTCGAATCCTGTCCTTTTTCAATGGACCCATGAAAGCTGCCTTGTCGGCAACAGTCTGGAAACGTCCATGACCAAATTTGGAGGAGGTATCGATGAATTTCAAATTGATACTTTCCAAAGCAGCACGTTTTGTGTGTACCAACAAAGACTATAAAAAAAAACAATCATGTTAGGCACATACATACTGTGATAAGGTAAATACTTAATTTATATTTAGTTTTAAAAAATAATTAAACACAAATTATGACCTCAGTCCTATCAATGCGTTAAACATAAACAATCATTGAATATTTCATGATAAATGGCTCTGGTTTGTTATGCATCATTGGTCATACTTTAATAATTATCTTTATTCAGAATTTACAACTTTGAACCTCAGTCCTATCAATGCGGTAAAAAAGTAATACATTTGGAGTTCATTGAGTATTGGCTCTATTTATACACTCGTCATTGGTCGGCAGTTGGTATCACAAAAAGACAATCTTAGTTGTTATCGGAAAAAATTTAGCAAACAGACTAATGACATTACAATTACAAACAGTTTAGTTTATAATGGCAGTATAAGTGATGACAATTTTAAGTTATCAGTATTACAAAAGATAGTTAACTTTTAAACTATTTATAAGCATAAGATAAGAATGCAGATCTGCCTTAACATTACCTAAAGAAAATCATAAAATAGCTGAAGCAGGAAAACAGGTATGTTCTGAACTTAGTAAAAAATGCACGGCCAGTTTCGTTTAAAACAAATTTGTTGTTGCGGAATAGTTATAGAGAAAACAAATACTGTACCATACATTGCAAGTATTATATTAATTTATGGTTGTATAGTGAATTTTTAAACAAATGTTTTGAACAAAATTTTAACATATTCTAAATGGATACATATTAGGTGATCATAAATTCATAATAAAACATAGTATGATTGCAAAATTCTAGAGTTGGCGCAATATCAATTGCTAACAAAATATAGTTTCATTAAATTATTAAGAATATACACCACTCATGAGTGATAATGATATTATACATTTTTTCATAGAAAAATGACAGATGGTTATAATATTGAATTTGTTTTTAGAGAAACTAACTAAAGTATAAATAATAAAAATAATTTTATTTGTCATGAAAAAACCTCAGATATTGGGATAAGCATTTAGTTCACCGACATTCATAGGATTGGCTCTATTGTTCATCATAGGTTTTTTCAAGTCCAAAAATATTTTGAAAATAAAATCTACTTACTTTACGAAGAGTAATAACACGCTTCTTAGGCCCAACACAACAGCCCTTGATCATTAAGAAATCATTATTAACTTCACCATAATGAGGAAAACCTCCCATGGGGGTGATGGTCTTCTCAGTCAGATCGTACTCAGTTGATGCATTGTTTTTGATAACCTATTAAAAGAATATGAAATTTAATAATTACGTGGTAATAAATTGTTAATATCTTACAATTAAAAAACACCATTCCTAAGTGATTATTAAGGGAATAAGTGTGCATAGCATGGTCTACTAGTAAGTCATCGCCCGATGGACTCTTACAAGTTACGGAATAATGCTAATCTAAGCACACGTCCAAACACTAGGCTTGGAGGGCTAAATTAATTTATGATGTGATAGCCTATACGTCGAAATTAAATTAAAGACCCTTGATCTATCTGAATAGTTGAACTACTCCACCATTTTGGGTTAAACAAATAGATAAAAAGTAATTCCCATGTCTTGATTAGTCAGTAGGAAGGCAGCATGGTGGTATCTTCATAAATTTCAAGAATGTAAACATCATGAGTACTCATCATTCAATGCAAGACAATTTTAAAAAATGCAATGTGCTAGGCATGGTCTACTAGTAAGTCACTGTCCAATGGACTCTTACACGTTACGGAATAATGCCAACCTTTAACACCTATCTAAACACAAGGCTTAGTGGATTAATTTTATTTTTGATGCGATAGCCTATACATCTTGACTTCAAGATCCTTATCCTATCCAAATAGTCGAACTATTTCATCAATATAGTAATATCATAAACATGTAATTCTTAATCGAGTCTTGGGTTGTCAGTAGGAAGGCAGCATGGTGGTATCTTCAGAAATATCAAGAATGCAAACATCATGAATTATCATCATTCAATCCAAGACAATACGATTAAGTTTACAAAAATGTGCCAGGCATGGTCTACTAGCAAGTCACTGCCCGATGGGCTCTTGCACGTTACGGAATAATGCCCAACTTCAGCCTCAATCCAAACCCGAAAGTTTGGCGAGCTAAATTATTTTATGATGTTAATGGTATATACGTTGCAATTTTATCAACACTTTCACCATTTGATTACCAAAGATAATCCATCAATAGATCAAGTAAGTTATAAGACAACATAAATAACAAGTTAGAACTATATTACCTTTCCGTCCTTGGTATGAATTCCAAGTCCAATACGGTATATCTTCTTATTGATTTCAGTACGGTGATGGTAACCTTTTTGACCAGCACGAGCAACAGTGAACTGAACACGACTAGGATGCCATGCTCCGATACAAGCAACCTTACGAAGACCTTTGTGTGTCTTACGGGGCAATTTCTTTGTATGCCAACGGGATGTAACACCTTAATAATTGAAACAAACGTAAAAAATTAATTAACAATTAATTTAACAACTTAAAATTATGAGCAAAATACCTTTGTATCCACGTCCCTTAGTGACACCAATACAATCAATCATCTCATCAGGAGCAAATACATGAGACACAGGTACTGGCTTTTCGAAATGCTCCTTAGCCCACTGTACCTTTTCAGCAACAGTACCTCCATTAACTTGGATTTCCATAATATGAGCTTTCTTTTGACGTTTCTTCAAAAATTTCATCTATTTTCACAAATAACACAAAACCATGAATTAAAAAAAAAAAAAGGAATAGGAAACAAAATAATCATCATATAAATATAATTTATAACCTCAGACCGCCCTAGGGGTTGACATCAATTAAATTCAGGGTCTAACTGTATTAATTTTAATCATCATCGGTGAAAAAAAATTTTAATACTAAATATGGTTATTTACCTGTGTGTGAGCAACAACACGGATGACTTTCGAGTATTTGGCAATTTTACCAAGGTCTTTGGCAATCTGTCTTTTGCCATTTTCATCTTGCCACTTCCTGGAGTACTTCACAAAAGCCTTCTTCTTTGATTTGTACCTGAAGGTAGGACACATAAATGAAGAGCGGCCTCATCATAGACAAAGTCTAGATTGGAAGCACAACTAACTCTTCTTGCCGTTATTCAAATAATTTGAAAACATTGGCAATAAGTATAACTCTCATCCGCTAGCGGAGAGGAGAGATAAATGGTTAATTATTTACACAGAAACAATAAATCGTAATCTGAATATAGTTTTGTAAAAAAAAAATAGCCTCAGACCGCCCTAGTAAAGTGACATCATTATGTTCAGTGAATCTAACTGTAAACATTTTTTAACTAAATCATCACTGGCTAATATTAAATAAGTTAATGTATGCAACATACCAGTTCTTGTAGAAACGACGACGGCAATCTTCAGACAAATGTTCAGCAAACACTGTCTTCAAAGGCTTAAGACCATATGGAGTTTCAACGTAACCTACAACACCAACAATGATCATGGGAGGTGCTTCCAGAATGGTAACAGGCTCCACAATTTCCTTCTTGTTGAGTTCTTAAGAAACATAAACAAAACCGTTAAAAACCATATCTAGTATGAAATCAAGAAGAAACTTACTTGATCCTGGACGGTCAGCTTCACGAACAACGTGAGTCATACCAGCTTTGTATGCAATGAAAGCAGTTAAATGGATTGGCTTGCTGGGATCATCCTTGGGGAAGGACTTTACTCTACCACGGTGACGACGTGCGCGCTTCTTCGGGTAGAAACCCATAGAACCATGCCGAGGAGCACTAAATTTACGATGAGACTGTAAAATACACACAATACATTAAAAATAAACACATGGTAAAATGCATCTAGAATACAGAAATTGCACTTCGAGAAACATAATATAGGTAAGGAAGTTAAGAACAAAAAAAAAACCACACTATTGAAATACACGAAGACAGTATTGGGAAAATATTTATAAGAACGCGGGATTTAAAAATAGTAAGAAAAACACATGGATCGGATTATTTCTAAAATGCACTAGTTTGGTCGAACGGTGAATATGAGATGTGAAGAATTGGAAATCACAAACCTCGCATGTGACACGTGTGTAAACATTTCATACCAGGACGTTAATAAAACCTTAAGAGTGAAAATTTGGAAAAACCGTTCTCGTGCTTCTACTGGAATCCAGTCTAGATCTTCCAAAAATTGAACGTTTAGGCAAAACGTGGAACACATAACCTAAATTCGGCAACAAGACACGATATCGGCACAGTTAGCCAGAAAGCGTAAATAAACGTGTATACAGATCAAAAAAAAACAAAACGTCGATAAACAAGAGCTCGAAGGATTACCGAAGAAAACGTGAAATACACATCACACAACGAATTTTACGGCCGCCGAGTGCATCATGCGCTGACCTAATGGCGAAAAAAAAAAAGTGACGCTTCAGTGGTAAATAGACCAGAAAACAACAGTCGAATATTCGAATGAAAAGCACTACCAAATAAATACTCACCATGATCGACGATTCAGAAGATCGAAGAGGATGAAAAAAAAGACTTGACGACAAGTGGAAGTGCGGAAGACGCGACTACCACCGGACTGAGACGAACGACGATTCCAAAAGAAATGAACGATTGAGCAACACTACCCAGTACCCACTACCCACTACGGCACTATCCGATTAACATTTGTGGAGCGGACGGGGGGTGGGGGTATGAGAAAGCGTCTCGTGGCGGTTGCCGCACGCAGTGCCGCCAACAACCTGAAGTGGTGAACGTCCAAGGAGAACAAATAACGGCGCCAACTGTGTTTGAGGTTATGTTCGAACTAGGCCACTGCCGGAGGCGTTGGGAAACGGCAAAATTTATCTGATTGTGCCACCGCAATAACAATAATAATAACAACAATAATAAACGGACGAGATAAATGATAATTGATAATTGATAATCGTCCGAACTTCGAACCCGAGGGAGGTGGACTATAATTGGAAGGAATTCACGGATTAGCTGGCTCAAGCAGACTGCTTCAGCTGAACTGTTTTCGAGAACCTTCGTTATCAGATTTTTGAGCCTTTTAAAGGTCAACAGGTCCATTGATTATAGACGCCGAGTAATAAAAAGTCGATATCAATACCCGATTCGTTTGCTCTCGCGTCCAAACGTTGCCCGCATCTATTTCCGAACAGTTTTTATTGCTTACGGCCTACGGGTTTGCCCGAACCGAAATAGAGATCGAAAGCACTGCCGTCCGTGCCCCGTGATCCACGATCTACTCAGTCATAGTTCTGCCAAGTGCCAATGCTATTGCACGTTTTCGGTACTGCAAAAATGGATAACTATAAGTGTTCACTGTCTGTCGTCGACGTCTATGATATGGCACAGGACATCGGACGAGAGTTCGAGTCCATCATAGACGCGTATGGCACTGATGCCATAACAGGACTAATGCCCAAGGTGGTATCCGCCCTAGAGCAAATGGAAATATTGGCTATGAAGAATGAGCGAGAGAACACCACTGTGGATGACCTGCGAGCGACAATACAACAACTGGAAATGGACAAACAGGAACGGACCGAGGACAGAATCAAGTATGAGAAGGTAAACTAATATCAAATATTGTATTACATTCTCACCCAAACAAAACATATGTTACTTATTGTGTTTTTCTACTACCATTTGACTACTTTATTGTAGGAAATGGAACAGATTGAAGATAAATGGCGTGAAGACTATAATGAATTGTTGACTACTGTTTCTAGACTTCAAGATGACAACCGTAAATTGACAGAGTCTTTGCAAGCTGCTGAAAAGGATAAAATAGTTGATTCAAAATGTATAATTTGTGAAAATTTGTAATTTAAGGTCACTTTATTAACTAGTTATTAACTTTTAGCACAAATTCTAAGTCCAGATGTTGATACTGTGGCTCTTCAACGTCTGCGCCATACTGTAGATCAAATGCGCGATAGTATTAGAAGCTATGAACATCAATTAAATTCAAAGAGTAATGAAGTTGATTCTGTAAGTTGACATTATAATAATTTTCTATTGTACATTAATTCATTCTGTGCCTATCATGTCTCTATAGTTAACCGTTCAAATGGATAGGCTTCAAACAACTTTGAAAGACTTACGACGTAAGCATCGTTTTGCACAACTACAATGTCGTGGTTTAGTTGAAGAGAGGGCAGATATTCTCTCCCAACTTCAAAAGCAGCAAAAAGAATTTATATCACTTAGACAAAGGTTTGGTGTAGCTCAAAAAGAAAATGAAGACCTCTCAAAATATAGAGTTAGTTAACTGCCTAAATATTTTTAACCATTTAATCAATTATTTTTTTATAAATGTGTGTTAATATTTGTTTTCTTATATTTAGGATGATTTGCCTGATTTGAAAAACAAAGCCATTTATGACTTAGATGATCCAGATAGACCAAAGTTTACTACCAATGAACTGAAAGATATTTTGACTGAACGTAATGAACTAAAAACTCGTGTTAATGATCTTGAAGATGAACTCTCACAGTATAGGCCGGCCGAGCAGTTAACAATATCGTAAGTAACAGTATTGATTATAAATACTTTTACCTATTGGCTATTTATAATCAATAGTAAAATTACATTTTTATCAATGAACAGCTTTTACACAACATTTTGCTTAACAATCATAATTATTAATTATATATCCAGAAATATAACTGAAAAAAGTTTCTTGGTTCACATGTAATTCAACTTTTTTTCTTTTTTAACCTACTATCTACCTATCAATTTATTTCTAAAAAAAATTTTACCCTACTAAATAAGCACGTTTTTATTTTTCCATTTGCACGCTTGGTACACATTTGCTTACTACAATTTGCTTGGTTTACTACAAATCTACCACTTTGTGCATGTAAACTTGTACATTAGCCAGGAAAGGGATGAAATCCAAGAAACGCGGGTACGAAGAATTTTGTTACGAAACTGTGCCACCAGAACAGACAGTCACCGACAAAATCTTGACACCGCTCCGGGCAATAAGGAAAACACGCAAGTGTCAGTCATCACCCCAGAAAGTTCATCAGATGTAACGTCCCCAACCAGGTGAGTTTCATTACTCATCTTTGCATACACTTGTTTGACACTTAGGTAATGACTTCAAAGTAGTGAAACGCTTACATTGTCTCATTTTAGTTGCTCTTTTACTATTATTGCTGTGGTAAAGTTTTTTTATTTCATAACTATATGCATGGTGGTAGAATATTGGATATTTCATTTTCTCAAAGACAAAAACAACAACTTCAATATTCAAGACTAAATTGACCTTATAGATACTGCAAAATTGTTTCAAGTATGCTAGCCTTTAAATATGTATCATTTGATAATGTAAAAATAATAAATAATATATTATACTCTGTCCGGCGAGAAAACATGGGAATTCGGCTCATCTCCTTGCAAAACCCTACCATCAAGTTTGGTTCTACTATGACAGGTGTTGTGTAGGGATGCACCGAAGAACTCTTTTTGTCAGTCCTTTGTTTTTTTTTCACAGGACAGAGTTAAATTAAATATTTAGGCTTTTGAACAGAGATCTTGATAGTTCATTAATTCTCCAACTAAACATTTTGTAGCTTAATTTATTTTTGTCTTACTTAGGTCCGATGATGATCAGGAAGAAGGGCCTGTTCAAGGACCATTACCTTTAGAACCTGATGATGCACCATGGAAACGAAATCCAGAATCTGGTATTCGTAAACTGTAAGTGTATTCACAGTTGTAATCATTATTTTGTTATCAATAATCGATGAACTTTGTATTCTAATTTAATTTTTTTTGTCTTCTGCTTACAGTTTTCGTAAGATGTTTGCTGAAACTAACAACTCTTTATTTTCTAAGACTAGTCCTAAACATCCTAAGCTATCGTTATCCAAAATGGCTGTATCCATTGGTCATTCGTCTATTATGGGACCGTCTGAAGTGTGATAAATAAAACATTGATCTCAAATTGAATTATTGTTTATTAATCATTACTAAAAGTATTATTTTAAGGCATATGCATAGATAAATTATAAGGGATCAGTAAACATAAGAACTACAAATCAAATAAACTTAGTAATATTATTTTTTTTTTTTTACATATATATTTTACAATATTTTTGTCGTGATTATTTATTATTAATACTTAAAATGCTAGGGCATAGCTCTTATAAATTGTATTGAACTATTGTATTATTTATTTTACATAATAGAATGCTTATTTATAAATACATACAAATATCTAACTTTTCTAAGTTAGATTTTTAATCTTAGTTTTTGTTTGCTAGTGCTAATTATTTTGAGTTACAGCAACATGTCAGAGTATTGTAAATTAAGTGAATAAGTTCTATTTTAATTGAAATGACATTGGAGTATGTAATTATTGCATTCAGATAAGTTTTTTTTATTAATTTATTTATCATTTATGTACAAAAAAAAAATATGCTATTACTTTGATTTATTAACTTTTGTCTCAAGTTAAAGAAAAAAATGCTCATAATATATTGTTTTTAATGACCCCCCTATTTAATTGTATTACATTATGCAGTACAATAATATTTAGGCTAATGCTTTTAACGTAACTCATCTAGTCGAGTTGATAATCAAATAAAATTGATTTTGTTATATTTTTTTTTTCTGTGTTTGTACTTGAAACAAAGTGAAGAATATTTTTATAGTGATTTATAATCAAATTTTTAACTATTTTTAAATAGTATTAAATTTATAATTGTGTTTATATTGCATTGTACTCCCCATGCTTTTTAATTGTATAGAGACATGCAACGTTTTGTTGAAGAAAATGTGTACTTCCAAAATATTTATTTTAATTGGCTATTGTTTTGTTAATCGTAATTATTTAAAAAAAAACTACAATATAGTAATTTGAATTAGACAATATTTTTACCAAATTGCCTTTTTTATGTTTGAGTACTTTTTTTGTAATTTCTTCTACCAGCCCAATACTATAATATTATCTGTACTGTTTACACTTTATAAGCTTGTCAGCTGGTATTAACGTTCATGCTATCAAGATTATTAATCTATTATCTTTCCATACATAGTGTCAAAAACTGCAAAATATAATTTACATTCGAAATTAGATTGTCTTAAACATTAACTTTAATTATTTTTAGTCTTATTATGAATTATAAAACTAAAAATTAAGACGCAAATTATTTTTTTAAGAACAGATTAGTTCTTAATCCCTATACATCATAAATTAATAAACAGTTGTAATCAAAAATTAAATGAATAATGGCATCGATAAATTCAGTTTTTGTTTTTTCTAATGTCTTTGTAAAAAAGATATGGTTTATTAATTGTATGTCCGCACAATTGAAAAAATGTTCATTTGTGTATATAACAACTTACTCTTATACCATTAGAACAAAGTACCTACTATAGAATTTAACAATATTAGTTTATCTTATAAACTTATTAAAACAATGATTATTTAACTATTAAACTGCGGAATTTATTTTTTTCAACAGTGTTTAATGTTAATCCCATAGACAGTTAACTGTTAATTTCTAATCTACAAAGTATACTTCAAATGTTTCTTGAAGTAGCATATTTTTATTGTTTTGTGTCAAATTAAATTTCAACATCTGGCATATTATTTATAATAATTACCAAATACATTTTACATTATATGTTAAATTTCGTTTACTGATCTTTCATGCAGCTGGCAACAAAAAATTTGTTTATATCACTAGAAAGCTTAACTTTAGAAAATTTTTATCTTAACTAGTTAATTATTTTTATTTTTGTTTTAATTTAACTTTGAACAGTTAATTATCATTATTACGCAGTAAAGATCATTTATTTTCTTATAATGTATCAATAATCTTATTTTTACAGTGTTAAGAGTTTTGGTAAATGTTTGTGTAAATAAAAGAGAACTTTATGGCTTAATATTGTGGCTTGAAAAAAAAAATGAAAAACTTACTAACTGAGTTAAGTTTATTTTATTTTCCATCTTAACTTTACACTTATTGTGGTCAATTTTTCATTTGTGAACTTTTAACACTTAACTGAAACGGTCTGAAAGCAATTAAATTAAATTTACTTAACTATCATCTGTGACACAGTTTATTATTGTCTTTAGCTTACCTAACTTTGGTATATTCCAAGTCCAAGAAAGTTGGAGTGTTATGCAATTCATAGACTTATTGTGATTGTCTGTGGTACAATTTACTACTATCCTGGGTGTGTTTTCTACTATTCTTTTTTTTTATTTATAAAAAAAGAATTTTTCAATTTGAATTAGTTTCTTTAAAATTAATGTTGATAAAAAAATGTTTGTAGCATCAAAAACTTGATAACTGAGTACAAGATTCCTCATAAGTAATTGTTAGTGAAAATGAAATTGAACATTTTTGAAGAGGGTCTGATGTTAGAATTATGAAAACTTGCAAATTATTTTGAATTATAAATTCATAAAAATCTTTCTTTTTATACCTAATATTTGAAAATCAAATGCTTACAAGATTCCTCATAAGCAGGGTTCAGGACTTATAGTACTTAAAAACACAATATTAAGCGCTAAAATATGCACTTAAAAACCCTAAAATATGCATTAAATTCATTTATTATTTTATTAATAATTTTTAAATACAATAAGTGTACTTAATAAACAAAATTTAAAAAAAATCAACTGATTGTTAACTTGTTTCTTAAGTTAAAGAGTTTTTTGAATTTTATTCGTCAACTATATAATGATGTGAAAAATTAAAAATTAAATATTTCATTTAAATCAATAAATAAATAATTTTACATTTACCGAGAATAAATTTAATTTCAAAGAACCTTTAATAACTGCAATATATTAAAATTATCGTATCGCAACATGTTATATAATATGTAACGATGTGACTTTACTGTATTGTGTTATTGTGTCTTGTGTCTTGCAAATTGTTTTTTTTTAAGTTCTGGATTTAATATTTTAAAATATGGAAATTATTAAATCAAATAAGGGTGCAGATAAGCTTTGTCACAAAGGTTATAATATGTATACCTTAAAATAGAGAGCCTAGATATTATCTAGGCTCTCTACCTTAAAATATGCCGGAAAACAATATTATACATGGAGATGTACAAATTGATGTACAATATTGATTATATTATCATTTTGGTTTTTTTTTCTTTTGGTTTTTTTTTCCGTATACCATTTTATCAATGCCTCTCATTCTAACAGCGGTCTTAAGTCTTAATGTCTTACCATAAATTATATTTTGTGGTTATTACCATTGCTGGACGCTTAGATAATAGTTAATGGAAATTATAATAAATTATAATAAAAACATAAATACAATAAATACATAATTCTTTATTATCTATGGATGTAACAGCACACAACAAAACAGCATAATCGCTGCTACATATTGTTCGCACGCCTCCCGCAATGCTGCATTATGCAAAGTTCTTATGTAGTAGTATGAACACAGAATAGATTTAATCTAATCTGTGGTATAAGGTCTTATTACAGGAAATTTATTATGCGGCCTGAGACACTGATTTGTGACTAATCCTGGGTAAAACCCTAACCGAACTAAAATTGGGCGTACACTACTAGTGATTGCCAGTTGATATTGGTCAACTCGGCATTTTATTATTTCATTATTCTTTAAGTTGTGACTTTTGTGACAGATGTGCGAATAAATATTACACCGAATAGGTAGGTATTCAATACAAATATAATATATACTATTAAGCTTGCCCACCTAAGTCATTACATCCAGGGCCGGCTCAATGTGGTAGCAAAATCGGCAGCCGCCTAGGGCGGCACTAGTGTGGGGGCGGCAAATTTCGAATGAACCAAAGTGATTTAATTATTATAATATAATGTAGTATGCTGAATTGTATGTTCATTGTTCAAAATATACAAAAATAAATGTGTAATAACTAATAATAATATACTATTGATACTTCGTTTACCGAGAACGTAACCAAATGTAGCTGTAGCACTTCACATTATTTTAACTATGCTTATGTCGGTTGCATCTGGTGAACGGAGCTTTTCCAAATTAAAAATAATTAAAAACTATTTGAGGTCTTCTATGAATCAAGAAAGGTTAAGTGATCTTGCTACAATTCCTATTGAAAAGAAGTAATGGAAAACCTGGAGTTTAAAAATTTACCGACTGATTTTGCCCAAGAAAACGCTCGAAAAATTAATTTCATTTAATATATTTTTAATTGTGTAGTTACATATTTTTTAATGTTTAATTAAATACATATTGTTGATCTATGAAAATGATACTGAATGAGTGACGATGGTCAAAAATATTACTTGTTCTATTTCATACCCAACATTTATATTAATTTTATTATTATTATTT